TTTGCTTTATTTTTTTTTATTCCTAGTGAGCTTTCAGTTGTGAATAATTAAGGAGAAAACCTTAGGTCTCTGTCTGTTTTAAAATTAAGGACTCAAACTGAAGCATGTATATTTAGAACAAGAGTTTGTGACATACTGAGTTTTCAAAACATAAAAAAAAAAATCAGAAAAACAGGAGATGTGTAAGATCACTTTGCCGTGGCAAATGGGAAACTGTGGACTGGGAAGATAAAGTTTGTCAGTACTGGTGTACATTAAACTACTGCTTTTTTAGTACATAGATTCCTTTAAAAAAACAAAACATAATGTAGTCAGCATTTAATTTATATTCGCTGTAGTAGCCTATCTTTTAAGAATGTCTCCTAAGATAAGGGCTGTAAACTAATTTTCACAGATCTGCTAGATAATAACATACCATTTGGAAGACAATAAGTCTAATTTAATTCATACATTTTGGCATTTTATTTATCTAAAACTAATAGGCCTCCATTAAATATTGACAATTTTATTAACTCAGCATCTGGGAAAACACTTATGATTAGGTTAATTTATGTTATATTTGCCCCCCAACTTGTAAAAGATTAATCAACCATTTTATGGTGTAATTTAGGGGCTAATTAAGAGCAGAGCTCACCACATGCTACACCACCCTGCTGCTAAATCCTGACATCGGTCCAGCATAATGGTTTCAATTTCAAATTGTTGCATCTCAATGTAGATAGCTACCTTCTCCCAGAAGCCTGGATGTGAGCCCTGTGCCAGGCTTAAACGCCAGAACCTAGGAAACACAAGTATTTAGAAAGATTGTCCCCAATGAGATCTGAACCTCCAGAGAAGTCAGAAACAGGGCCGGCCACCAAGTTTTGAGAAACAGACCGGCCATTAGGAGGTGTGAGACCAGCTAAAACTATAAAGGAAATTACCGTTTTCAGCTGCCTTGGGGAGACATTTGTTACTGGGTTTTGGAATCTCTAAAAAAATGTCAGTGTTCTAGCTGCATCTGCCTTCTGATTAATGAGCACAAAGTAATCACCCTCTCCTTTTTGGGATCACTCTATCATTCTAAACGAACAAATTAATTCCAAGGAGCTTGAGGACAAGTCACTTAACCTGGGGGCTCCCAGCCTGAAAGGGGCAAATGGCATTGAATAAGCCACTTCCTCTGGAAGACACTGGCTGTTTGCTCAGCCGCTGTACTAGAGGGATATTTTTGTCATTTTAATGACTCCTTTGATTCTAGCTGTCCTGTGCAGAGAAATAAAAGTTCCAGAATGGTATGATTGTTCTCATCTAGTTAGAAACCAGTGCAAGATGACTCCAAGTCAACTGTCCTGGCATCGAAAGGGTTGTAAGATAAATGACAAAGTGGACACTCTGTGCGAGGGGGGGGGGACGGGGACGGACGACTGGAGGTGGGCAGGAAACCCTCCACCCTATTAGAGCAGACATTATTTTGACTAGCAGCATGTTTTGGTCACTGGAATCAGGGAGCCTGGCCCAGAATGACATCTTGTTGGAGTAAGACCTCTCTCACTTTCTAGCTGTGAGACTTGGAGCAAGTTGATTAACCTCTCTGTGCCGACCTGTGTTTGCTCATCTGTCAAAGTATTGACTCGACAGCATGGTAATGAGGATGAAACTAGCTAACCCAAAACACTTGAAACAACTCCTGGCACAAACATTTAGTACAGTTTAACTATAACATTGCTAAACCACAGAGAGAGAGAGAGAGAGAGAGAGAGAGAGAGAGCAGGCACAGAGAACACAGAGCCGCTCCCCCCTACCCCTCAAGTGCCTGCTTAATTTGTACAACCGAAATTGAAAGAGGAAGGCATCCTGTGAAAGGACCACCACTAGACTCTGGAGCAGATCATACAAGGTCTGACTGGCTTAACTCCTAAACCCGGTCTTCAAATTCTTGGACATATACAAAATATAAGCGTGGATCAAGAAGGGGTGCTTTAAAAAAAAAAACTGCATCGCTAATGCTGCACCCCACTTCAAATAAATCCAGCTACTAAGCCCTTTGGAGGCCTGCTGCACCTGAGGGTTTGAAGTTCCTGCTCCCCTAGGCCCCAAATTCTCAGACACCACACTCTCACTGGAAGGTAAAGGACCAGCTTCAAGAGCCCCTCCTACATCACCCTCGAGCGCTCACTTTGTTTGGAAGGTGATTAGAGAACCCTGGGTATGAAGGGGAAGGTCAGCTCAGAGCCCCTTACAAAGTGGGACTCAAGGAGACTGAACTAGGGAGCGGTGGCTTTGATTTTGCACTGTAAAGATTTTGCATGTCTGGTGGTGGAGGCGGCAGGGTCAGCTCCAAGGTGCCACCGAGGCAGGCGCTGCACACACGCACACACCCCAGGAGCCTGGGCTACCCATTAGCTGATGGTGTCTCCTTAGGGAGCTGTAAGGACTGCAAGTTCCCTGGCATCCAGGAAAATCTACCAGGCCCTGGGCCACTGGTTAGACCGCTGGCAGGGCTGTGTATTAACCCATTAAACTCATTAAAGACTTGCTCAGACACAGCCACGACCCTCATTCTACAACCCATTGCCTGCTGACCCCAGAACTCAACCATCCATTTCACACCCCCTCCCATTTTGTCTCAAATGCCTTAAAAGCGCCTCCCACGTTCACACTGTTCACACTCCGGGCTTTGAGGGCTTGTTTTAACCATGATTCTGCCTTGAAGCTCGCTGGTTAATCATTATTTACGCTGTTCTCCAGCGGGAGGCCTGTCTCGGGACAGAGCAGGAGGGACCCTGCAGGCCTGGTTTGGATGGCAGCAGGGTGAGCCGGGAAGGGCCAAGTCCTGCATTCTGGGTCAGCATCTCCTGCGCTTGTTGGACTTAGGGTTTCAGGGTTGCCCTCAAATTCATCGTGAAGTCCTTCCATTGATCCAGACTCCCACAACGGTCTAAAGTGATTTACGGGTTTTAAGTAAACAGACAGCATTTTACATCTTTCCTTTTTCTTTAGGAAAATATCCAGTAACTCTGCTGGCACTCGGATAGCTCACTCTTGGGACGGCCCGGGAAGGCCGCGCCATCCGGACCCTTGCGCCATTGCAGTTAGAGCAGCAGGTCACCGCCGCGGGGCCTGTACCTTCTGGGGGCGTCAGAGGGAAAAGGACCCTGGTCCCCCGCGGCCTGGTGGAGCCCGGGTGGCCCGCGCGGCCTCGGCGGCGGCTGGCGGAGCGGCTTCGGGTCGCCCGTCCCCGCCCCGCTCTCGGGCAGCGCTCGCCGCCGCCCCCCGAGAACGGCGAGGGCCTCCGGAGCCCAAGGGCGGCGGCAGGTGGAGGCGGCAGCCGCCTCCGCCTCCGCGAGAACCTTCCACCGGGGATTTCCGCCGTCTGCCCCAGGTGCCCCCAGAACCCTCTCGCGCTCGGCGAGTCGCCTGCCAGTTTCTACCGAGCCGGCCTCAATCGGGGCTGACCGAGAAGTTCCAACGATCAGCGGCCGCCCCGTCCCGCCTGGGGAGGAAGCGATGGCACGCACGCACCGTCGGCAGGAGCCTGCGGTGAGAGGAGCCCCCGCGGCAAACTGCACCTGGCTGCACCGAAGTATTCGCCCTTCCGGGCCCAGCCAGAACCCGCTTGGTGCACGGGGCCCCCGGGGAAAAGCGCCCAGACCCACCGGACGGGCATCCGGGCGGGCATCCTCAACCCGCAGTGTCCTGGGGACCGTGAGAAGTGTGGGCCGTCCCTGCCGGCTTAAACCAGACTTGGCAACTTGGGCAACTCCACACAATTAAAAAAAAAAAAAAAGAAAGAAAGAAAGGAAGAAAAAGGAACATAAAGGACGAAGGGGAGAGGGCGAGCAAGGCTGGGAAGGGAGCAGCTTTAATCCTCGGGGTCAGGCCCTTTTATTTGCCACGCCATCCGTGTCCTGCAAAGTAGGGTTGAGGCAGAGAGCGGGGTTCGGTTTGTGTGTCTCCTGGTTTTCGCATTACTTTTGAAAGTAATTGGGTCTGGGAGGGAAAGAAAGGAAGAAGAAGAAGGGAAAAAAAAAAAAAACTCGAGGGAGACGCGAGGGCTGAGTGGTGACCCGAGGGGCTGGGGACCCGGCCTGGTTTCCGGAGATTGCGGTGTGACCCCCCGGGGCTCCCGGCAGAGCCGCAGCCCGGTGGTGCTGCAGTGCTCAGAGGTCGAGACTGTGACCCGGGAGCCTCGGCCCCTCTGCAGCTAGGCTCCCAGGCGGAAGCCACGACCTCGAGGCAACCCTCCCCTCTCAATCAACGGTCAGGGCTAGCCTCTGAGCCGGGACGTGGACGGGGTCTGCGGAAACCGTCGTCTCAGCCGTGGCCCCGCCAGCGGCGACCCGGGCGGTGGCAGCGCCGCGGGCGCCCGGAAGCCTTGGCAGGCGGCTGCGGGCTGCAGTGCGCGCCTCTGCCCGACAGGGACCAGCACCGCTCCACGGCGGGCTCGCCGCAGCCGGCCGAGCCGCGCGGCCAGCCGCCCGTCCCCCTGCCCGGCACCGGCGGCTCAGGCCCCCTCCGGGTCCGGAGACAGGGAGAATCCTAGCAAAACAGTTCACAGACTCGGGGGGCCCTCGGCGCGGCACCCCGGCGTGCGCCCCTCTCCAGGGGCGACTCCAGCGGCCGCTGAGCGAAGGGGGCCGCGAGCCGGAGGCGCAGCGTCCTCCCCGCGTCCCGGGCTGCGGGGGACACAGCCGAAGCTCGGCTCTCCCGGCGGGATGCCGGCGCTCTGCGGTCCGGCGGTCTTCGTAGCGGGGTCGCCTGAACGGTCCCGGGGCGCAGCGGACCACGGGGCCCTCGGCGCCCCGCCGCAAGTTTCTCCGGCTCAGCCCCAGCCGGACGCACCCGAGTTCCCCGCACCGCAGGGTGCGCTCAGCTTTTGGTCCCCGCCCGCCCTCGGCCGCCCCCACGTCGCCGCTACCCTCCCCACCTGACGCGCGACGGCCCGTGGGGGCTCCGGGTCGGGATGGTGACCAGCGCAGCGCTCCTCCCTCCCCCCACCCCCCGGAGAGGAGACTCACCGGTACCAGGCGAGGCCCTTGTGGTAGCTGCGGTCGAAGAAGTGGGGCTCGGCGCCCACGGCGCGCACGTCGGGGTGCACGCGCAGGAACTCCAGCAGCGCCCGCGTGCCGCCCTTCTTCACGCCGATGATGATGGCCTGCGGCAGCTGCTTGCTCCCGGAGCCGCTGAAGAAGCTGGAGATGGGGCTGGGGGAGTCCGGCGCCTCGGGGCCCGGCTCCTCCTGGCTCCCGGCGCCGGCCGCCCTCTCCTTGCCTGCAGCCAGCGGGCTGGCCGGAGGCGCCCGGAAAGGCAGCTTGGGGGACGTCTCGTTGGGGGCCGGGACCAGCGCGGGCTGAGCGTGAGCGGCTCGCGAGCCCGAGCCCAGGATCAGCAGGCCGGGCGCGGCGGTGCAGGAGCCGGCGCACGAGTACAGGAACATGTAGAGCCAGAGGCAGAGCATGGCGAAGAGCAGCGCGAGCTTCCTCCTCACCGGCGGCGGGGGCGGCGGCGGCTGCGGCAGGAGCCGGCCCGGGACATCGAGGCAGGAGCGGCCGCCGCTCAGGCGCTGCCCCATGCGCGGCCCGCGGGCGCGGCCAGGGGCATGGCTCAGCACGCGGCGCGAGGCCCGCCCGAGCGGAGAGCACCGGGAGGGTCCCCTGCCGCCCTGTGCCCGAGGGACTCGGCTTACTGCCCTCGCGCGCGCGCGGCTGCCGGGGCCGCGGCTCTTCCCCGGGTGGCGGCGGCCGCTGCCGCGGCGACGGCTCTTGACATGATGCCCGCGAGGAGCCGGCGCCGAAGGGCAGAGTCCGGGCGGCGGGAAGTGCGCGCAGACGGGCTGCCGGGGACGCCGCGCCCCACGGCCGGGCTACTCTGGACGGGGCGCACGGCCGCCGGGGCTGCCTCCGCGCAGCTAGGAAATCCGGAGCAGCCCCGGCGCTCGCCCGCAGACGCTGCGGAGGAGAAACTGCGCAGGAACAGAGCCCGGCACTGAGGTGGAGTGGGCGGCTCCGGCCTTCCGAGTGACGGGCCGCGCCACCTACCAGGAACCGGGAGCGCCATGCAAATAGCGGAGCTTCTCCCGAGTCGAAGTAGCCAATCGTCTCTCGGAACGTGGGGGTGTGGAAAAAGCTCGAGGAGGGGGTAGAGCCATCTGGGGCTCCTATTGGCTCTGGAGCTCAGGGGGCGGGGCTGGGGGCGGGGCCCCCGGCTGGTGACAGGAGCAGATGGGGAAGATGCTGGAGTGAGGTCTCGCCCGGTTGAGCTGCGCTCTCCCGTCTGTCCACACGTGCGCTTTTCCGCGCTCGTTCCTGGAGCCAGCCTTGACTGCAGTCACCCATGTGCCAAGACGCGAGTCCCCATCCAAGTGTTCCGCCACCCGGCTCCTGAGCGGAAGAGTTGCCGAGCAGAGATGGGGACGGAAGGGGGAAAGCCAAGGTGTTTCCAGCCCCACCGAGAACCTAGCTGCACACTCGGGGCTCGGGGAAGGGCCCCGACTGACGCCAATTTAGGAAGTTTGAGCAGGGGGAAGTCACTAACAGTCTTTCCCCGCGTCTCTCTTGATATCCGTTGGGAGCTTCTATCTCCCTGCCCCTGCCGGGTAACTCTACCTCACTGGCGCTTTCCAAACTGTCTCTCGAGAAGACTGGGGAGGTGAGCAGAGCGCAGGGGGGCTCAAGTCACATGTAGGAGGTTTTATGTGGGTGTCTGCTCCTTGGCAGCATTAATCTGATCAATGTACCAGCTTCCCTTTCTCTAGAATAAACCGTAAAGTCAGCGCCCTAAGCAATCTCGCTGCTTAGGAGATGTCCGGTTTTCATAGACGTTTTGGCTCCAGTGACTTGGTCGCGCTGCGGCAGATCTGGGAAGAGCGAGCCAGTAGCACCTATTTAGTAACAGTGGAACTCCCCTAGGAGGTTCGCGCCTCCGGCTGGGCCCGGGGCCGGGAGCAGCCCGAAAAGGGGTCTCCTTGGAAAGGGCAGGGCCGGGGCTGCGCGGGGCCCGAGGGCTGCGCTGGCATCCGGGGATCGGGGGGCCGGGACGCGCGAGCCCCGCGAGGGGAACGGGCGGGCGAAGCGGAGCCGCCCTCGGCCTCTCCCTCTCCACCCGGCCATCCGGGAGCAGGGTGCGGGGCGGCCAGGGCGCACACCCCCTTCCGGAAGGGACGTCCCCGAGGGCCCGCAGCTCTCCCCGCTGCTCTGCGGCCTGGCTTCCGGCCGCCGGGACCGAGCTCGAGAAAGCGCGTTTGGGTTGCGCACCTCGGATTGGAAAGCGCGTCCGAGCTCCAGAGCTGACCGCAAGCTAGATCCGTAGACGGCGGAGCGGCCGCCACCGGACCCGGCGCTCCTGCTAGCGTTCTTCGGCATCCCTAGGCGTCTAGCCCGAGCCAATGCCCTACAACACTGTCGAGAGGGGAAACCATTTAGGCGGAGGACACTTTTTTCCTTCTCGTTTAGTGCAGCAGTGAGAATTCCCAGCCCCCCAGCCCCGCCGCTCGCTGAGGTGCGCGTTCCTCCAAGTGATTTAATCGCCTTCGTTTTTTTAAGTTAATCAGCCAGTTTCATTTTTATTATTTTAAACTTACAGTACAGGAAACAAATGCATTTTGAGCGCTAGCCCGACTTTTTGTTTTCAGATGGAGGGGGAGACATCGGTGTCTCCCAAGGGCGCGTTTTCCCCTTCTCCTTATCTAGATGGGAAGGAAGTTGCTGATTTGTGAGGGCTGAATGGTAGTTCCCACGTGGCCTCCTTCAGGCCTGGCTGAGTGTGAATAAAAATGGTCCCTGTCCTGCGGGCTAGCGAAGGCCATTAAGTGAGCAAGTGAGCGGTTACAAATCGAGGCCACCGGATATATCTGGAGTCTCTTTCCCCGAGGGGGGGTGGAGGGAGGAAGGCAGCGAGTGGAAGCGAAGACGTGGGCGTCGGAAATTGCCAAGAGTGCGGTGCTGAGCTGAGCGCCCGGGGCTAAGTCGCAGCCTGGCCCGCTAGGTCCCACTTCGGAGAACAATGGGGGAGTTCTCTCTCCGCGCCGGGGCCATCCAAGGTCAGTGGGCGGGCGAGGTCGGAAATGTAGTTCCGAGCAAGTTGCACGCCTCGGTCCTGCAGGCTCTTCGGGAGCCGTCCGTCCTGAAGCGTTCGGGAGTCATCCCCCTGTCGCGGCTCCCCTCGGTCAGACCTCAGCCGATGCCATCTCCTGCACGGCCTCGTGCAGCAAATGCCAGGCCCGAGACTCGCTCCTGGGAAGAGCTGGCAGCCAAGCCGACTGACAACCCAGCCGGACCTCACACCCTTATCTGTGGCTCCTGGGCAGCCACCGAAACCGAGAGAAAAGATTGTCCCCCGATAAACTTACCCACAGTTTCGCCCTTTGGAAAACATGTGAAGAGGGGAATTCAACTTGAGCGCACGTGTGAGGCTGACGGTTTTGTTTGCGTTGATTTTTTTATGACTACCTAATAGGAGCACACACTGGAGGGTGAGTCTAATCTGAAAGGCAGTGCGGGCCTCTTCCCCCGATCCTGGTGCTGCTGGCAAGCTGTTGTGACTCCAAACTTCCTAAACGGACTGGCTTGGGCCAAGATTCCCTCAGAACACGTTCCTGGGCTTTCATCCTAGGCTCGGGACTGCTGGTCTAGCAGCTGGGCCTGACCCTCCTCCCCCGCCTGTCCCCGCGGGACGGCAGAGCAGGCATTTCCTGGGCGGCCTGGACCGGTGGCCCAGAGTCCCAGTTTCCGCCACCGGAACCCTCGGCATCATCCGCTGCCAGCTCTGCCGCCCCTGGAACCGAGCAGCTACGAGCCGACGTCGGACAGGCCGCGGGGACCCTGCCCGCCCGCCAGGGAGCGCTCTGGCCTGCGCTTGCCGCACGACCGATGGCCGCCGCAGTCTGATCTCTGCAGCGCGCGGTGAAGAAAGACCTCACCCCCCCACCCCCCCGGAACCTGCGGGTGCTGGCGCCTCCTGGATGTCACAGGCGCAGGGGTCCCCTCTGTTCTCCCCCACCCCCAAGGCTAAGGGCGCCGCAGCCTAGAGGTCAAGCATAGGGTCTGGAGAGTAGGGTGAGGAATTCCTGGAGAGGGAGGGGGGCTGGGGTGGGGGAGGTGGCTCGCCACAGGCTAGAAAAGCTTCAGATTGCCCAAGTCCCTCTGTGAGAGGCAGCCTGAGCCCCAGTAGGAAGCCTAGCATGCACTCCCAGGAAATAAGGCCTGGGGTCTTTGGGGACCCAGCAGCCAGCCTCACAAGGGAGCTGTGTGTCTTCATTCCATAAGGACAAGAAGTGTGACGCCCAGATTGGGCAGTGGCTAAAACACGCTTTCCTCTTTTGTATGTCTGGTTTTTGTTTTGTTTTGTTATTTGAGACAAGGTCTCACTAGGTAGCCATGGCTGCGGCGCTCACTCTGTAGACCAGGGTGGTCTCAAACTCACAGAGATTCCGCCTGCCTCTGCCTCCCGAGTGCAGGGATGAAAGGCCTGCTGAAAGAAGCTTTAACTCTCTCCAACAAGACAAGGGTGTCTGGAGCCTCACTGAGAACACACCTTGAGCACTGAGCACGCCTTCACCACCAAGCTTCTCCAACCGGTTCCTCACTTCCTTCCCTCCTTTCACAGTAGAGGAAGCTGTGGCTTCCAGGGACAGGACAGTACCCCAAGTAGTGTTCTAGACCTTAGCCTTTCTCACCCCAGAGATATCTCTTTCTTGGCTGAGGAATGCTCTCCATCCGCCTGTCCTTGATTGTACAGTCCTTACAGAGACAGCGGGAGGGCTCAAGGGCAGGCAGGCCCCCCTCACAGGGCAGCCCCCGGCTGCTGATTGGCTGAAGCCATCTGGGCTCCAGAGCCTCCTAAGGGGTCAGGAAAGGATGAAGGAGGTAGACCTGTGTCCCAGCTGCACTCTGGCCTTTGCCCAAACCTTCTTCCCGACCCCTCTACAGTTGGGGACGGGTGGGGCAGGGCAGTTTTCTTTGGCTTCTTGAACACGTCAGAGGACTCACCTGTGCCCACCATCTCTGGTATGGTTCTTATCAGCAGCCGGCCTATTCCTGCTCCTTCTTCATAGCAACGTCTATATATGGTTTCCATTCTCTCACCTATCCATCCGTTTTTGTTGAGATACGTTCATTTGTTAAGGATAGAAAATTGTATAGCTCCTGAAAAAGTCAAATGTGTAGGAAATATAGAGGGCTTGGAGAGATGGCTCAGAGGTTAAGAGCATTGTCTGCTCTTCCAGAGGTTCTGAGTTCAATTCCCAGCAACCACATGGTGGCTCATAACCTTCTATAACAAGATCTGCTGCCCTCTTCTGGCTTGCTGGCTCACATGCAGGCAGAATACTGTATACATAATAAAATAAATAAATCTTAAAAGAAAAAGAAAGAAAGAAAAAAAAATACAGATTAGGTCTCTTTCAGAACCTAACTTTGAACCTCTCTTTCCAGACACGGCCATGGTTGCTAAGTATACAACAGTATTTTACGTTTGTTTTGAGGTGTGCAAGTGTTTTGCCTGCATGTATGTCCACGTGGGTGCCTGGTGCCACTAGACCTCCCTGAACTGTCGCTGGAGGTAGTTACGAAAGATCATAGTGTGGACGAAGCAACAGATGTTTTCAGTTGCTGAAACAGCTCTCCAGCCCTGCATTTTATTTTTAAA